ACAGTAGTTCCTTCGATGAGTGATTCATGATTCGTCAACACAAGGTCTAAGATGCCCATCGTGTTTTCTTTTCGGTTGACCTCTTTTTCAGGTGTAGAAGGCCTACAAATATTACGGGTGGAGTTGCTGGAAACCCTTGATTCCATAGCATAGAGCTGTATTGTGTAAAAGCCGAAAAAAGGACAATCGTGCGATTTTAAAGAACCGACACGCTTGTTTTGCACGTTGTCACTTTACTGCTCGTGGCATGTTCGATCCCAGATCTTGCGCGGTCAAAAACCCCACGGCTCCTTAAGCGCGCGACCAAAACACTGTGACGTAGAAAACTGTGAAAACTGCAACTAATTGTGGAAAAAGGGAAAATTCGAGAATAAAGGACAAACGTATTGTGTTGCCGGAGCGCCAAATGATGTTAGCTTCGAGAATAATACACATATAACGGGTATTTCTATACACTCCTTTCCAAAGGATGTAACTGTATCACTATGGCCACACTGGACGCGTTTCATACGTCGACATGGAGGAGATTTCATTCTTCGTTGTCGTCCTAATATGCTCTGTAACGGCCTCGAAGACAGCTGTTACGAACACATACCACAAGTCAAAATTAGGGAAAGATAACCAATGAATTCAGCTAAAAATAATTCTGATTAAGGGGCCTGTTCCCACGCCGTACACGATTGCTCAACATTCTTTTCGGCTGACATTTCGCAAGCGAAGAATGGTGAGTTCCTTATTGTTGTTTATTCCACGTACTTGAGATTTACTCATACTCCTTGTCTTTAACATAACTACATTTGCGCTTTTCTTATCGTATGAAAATCCTATCAATGGTAGTTTCCATCGCATTTTAACAACACAAATACATAGTTTGTAATAAAGTTCCAGCCTTTTCCAGAGCTGGATGATATCCTGTAGCGTGAACAGTACGTAACCTCTGACAGATACAAGCTCAAAGGGGCCGTGTATTCTCTTAACCTAGACATCGCTATCGGACATTTTTTCAAGATTACTTCAACTCTGACTGATACAAAATTACAAGAGATGTGAGAGACTTGTAAGTGCCAACTGAAGGTTTCATAATTTTCTACGTCATCAGCCGCTAATTCGTTACCAGTCTAAGGGACACTTAATAGACAAAATAATAGCACCTTAAGGGCCCGAAAAAACCGAGTTTTAACTTTTTGAAATTTTTCTTTTATTGGAATTGGTTTGTAAATATGATAAGCTGAATATATACACAAAAAATTTGTGTCATTGGCACTTAAGTACAGTTTTTTATCCCATATGTACTCACCAAATAACACAACTGTATAATTTTATTTACTTAACCCTTTAAGTCCCAAGATCTCATTAGTAACTTTCTATACTGTCGGCCATATAGTTCTTGTGATGTTAGTTTGGAGAGTTTGGTATTAGATCAATCAATAATATTTTTCTTTACTCTCATCACTTGTCTGCTTGATATTGTTTTGATATTGTGATGAGAAATTCTGTCTTGGTCACTCATGGGAGTCAAAGGGTTAATTACTAACTTCTAGGCTCCATTATAATGATGGTTTCATAATTTCAGTGTACCTTCTTCGCATTTAATACTTACAGAACTATCAACTGTTCCTAATACAGAAAACTCACCTCTGATGGTTCACTATAATTTGGTTCCCCTGTGCCAACCGAAGATTTTGGAATCCCAGTGTTAACTACTTGATTAGAAATTTCTTCTGAATTGACTGGCAAGGAGCTTTCCAGTTCTGCTGTTGATGTTGATGACAGAATTGGTCTAGTTGAACATAAAGCCGGCTTAGTCTGAAGTGACCTGGTTTCAACATGCGCTGATACAAATATTGAAAATACACCTGTGTGTGTTGCAGGACTTCTTGTGGTTGCACCAGGTGAAGGAGAAGGTAATGATGTTTGTTGTGGCTTTGATGACAGTGAGGATGTTTGTGTTGATTGTGGTATTCCAAGAGAAGGCAAAAATGAATACAAAGATGATGGGGTGTGAGAATTCAAAGCCGTTGGAACAGCATATACAGAACTATTCCTTGCTGGGGCATAATCTGTAAAAGGCAAAGGAATATCAATCTCTATTACATGTACTTAAGAAATGTTGTGAAAAATAAGTTTGTTTCTTTGAACATTTAAGACCTTTGCTGGCCAAATTTTGCCAAAATTTTTTTTACCTCGCACAAAATATTTCTGTTTTAACTTATGTGTTTCAGTTACATGTGTTTATAACAGTACATGTTGTTTGTGAAATAATGGGTACAGATAGAAAAGCAAAGAGTCCTTGGGTTAGAAAGAAGCCTGGCCAAAAGAGCCAGACAATAAAGGAAATTTGATGAAGAATGGAGAAAAAGTCTAGCTGAAATGGACAAGGGTTTGTCAGGTATGAGCAATCTTCCCTGCTTGCCCTGAAGCAACCATCAATAAGGTCCACCTCCTTGGGTCAGTAGGAGGTGAACCTGACGGCACTACTGAAACTTTCCTTCACCTTGAATTTCTTCCTCTTACTGGTATTTCAAATAAATCAAAGCTCTGTCATGCACAATTGCAGGATAGTTTCCCACAAGACATGTTTTTGTCGAGAGCTTTTTGGGACTATGCTTCTGCATTTCTATTGGCTGTCAGCATTTTGAGTTTTTGAGAGAGTTGACATAACTTGACAGATTTGATACCTGTTTACTTTGCTCAAAGAATCATCATCCATTCTGGATTGTTGTGCCTAAGTTGAGTTAGCAGTAGGTCAAGTTAAAATTAAACAATTTTAGCTGGATAGTGCATTATATAATAAACTGTTCATTGATGTGTAGTTTGTGGTTGCTACACTTTAAATGGTGACAATTAATAGTGCATGGTGACAATTAATTTGGTGAAGGACACCTGTGAAGGTCTACTATATCCTTAGTGGTGCATCAACTGCAGATGTTGACATTTCAAATGCTTTAAAAACAAAATTCAGTAGTTTAAGTTAGGTGATGAGGTCAAATATTTTTACTGTGCATAACTGTATGTAGCATGTAGATCAGTTGCTATTGGTGACTTCTGATGTGCTGGGCACTTCAGATATCTCTGTTATATAGCTGCACCTAATGGTAGATAATGATCAATCATATAGGCTGGCTCAGCTTTGTTATTGATTGGCTTTAGGACTTCCTTAATTTCCTGCATCCATGCTAAAAGAATTTCATCAGAAATTAGCAGAAGTTCTGCTGCTTTATAAAGCATGGTAAGTAGTAGACTTTTTTGCAAGTTGAGTTGCAAAGACTGAAGTTGTCCGAGCACTTCCCATCCCTGCAGATTTTCTGTGCTTGTAATTACTAACAGTACATGTGAGCCAGCCTTTAAGAACTGTACAAGGCAACTCTCTCCCTTAATTCCCAGGAAAATTATTGATAATCACTGACAGATGAAAGTTCTTATCAATGCTTATCATTTTCAACTATGGAAATACACAGTACAATTAGTTGTATTGTAATAATTCTAAGGAAATGCAATACTGCAATTTAGGCTGACTTACGAGTTACAGATCCTTGTGCCTTGAAAAGATAGCAGTATTCTAATTTTGGCTTTATTTGCAGTGTTATGTTTGAGCAAAAGAGGTAAAGTTTGATGATCCTCCCAGAAACATGTCCATTCTTGTCTTGCCCCTGGAAGGAGAACAATAAAAAAGAACAGTTTTAAAGATGCTGGCCACAGACAGTGTGCGTAAATTGTCTCCATGAGGATCAGATATATTAATGTGTCTTCCAATATTTGCAATCCTTTTTCACTTTTTGTTACAGTTCCACAAATATGCTTCAAATGCATATTCAATTTTGTTATTTGATTTTTTTAAAAAAAAATTAAACTTGTCAGTGCTGTATTTTTTGCTGCGCACAAGGCTTGTTTTGTCACCATATACTATCGTGAAAAAAAAAAAGAGAAGAGAAGTGGAAAGAAGGACTCATTGAACTGGTAAAAAAAAGACAATAAGTAACCTTCCAACTTGAGAAGTATAATAAAGCTAAACCCTGAAACAGGGCTGAGTTGTAATAAAAGTAAGTTATTTAATAGTCTCACCTCTATGGAAACAATCTTTTCATGTCCTTTGGGCTTAAGTTTAAAGATTCCACTTGTTACATTTTTCCATCTAATCTGAAACCCATTGTAATCAAAATAGTAGCCATAGAGACTGCATTTATAATCTTTTAAACTAACTGAAGTTTTCCATTCCTTTTTTTGGTCAAGGTCAACTGGAAAGTTCAAAACTGTTCTACCACTCAGGAATGCATCTGTGTGGTTTAAACAACCTACGGAAAGATTCAGTTAGATAAATTGCAACAACCATAAACGAGCATGTAGGGACACCAAATAATCATTAGAAACACCACCTCTTAGTGATTTTGACAGGACACTTTTTATGACAGAGGTTTACATTTTGTTATTATCACTCATTGAAAGAGGGTAATGAGGTTGCAAGAAACTATTTCAATATATAAACTACTGTGCTTTACAAGGATTGCCAGCCCTGAGAAAAAACATAACTGCTCAGTGTAAAAGTAACACAAATTTATGTGTTCCCAAGACATTGCCAATCAGCTGTTGGCAGGTCACTTGCCTTTCACACCACATCTATTTTGTCACTTTTCACTCATTTTCTAAGGGCTAAAATCTCAGCTTGGAGGGTTTACAGACTTATGCTACTTATCTTTCAAGAAATGCCAAAATGTTGAGACCTCATCTCCCCTCATCACCCCTGCCCTTTCCAGGACTCAACCTTTGCAAATTGTTGATTGAATTATTTTTCTTTATAAAAAAAATAACACTATGTTAGCATGTAGAGTGGTATGTTGCTCGCACCCATCAGATTGCTGCATTTGGGTATGTTTCTTGCACCAATCAGATTGCTGCATAAGGGTATGTATCTTGCACCAATCAGATTGCTGCACTCGAGTATGTATCTCACACCAAACATATCACAGCATTTGGATATCTTGTACCAATCACAGCATTAAGCGCAAGTTTTAATTAAAAAACGGCGATTTTTTAAAGGTTTGAAAAGAGACTTTCAAAAATTCAACTTCTTGAAAACAAAGCGAATAGTCCCAAAGGTAATCTATTGTTTGCGCTATTGCTTTCTTCTAACAAAGGACTGTATGCATAATGAAGTATGGGGCTGTGCAGAAACTTCGCCGATTTAAGTACCCACCTCCAAAGTTCGCTGGCAGTTGTCCTTTCGATATGCACCTTCTCAACGACGGGAGAAAATAGGATACGTCGGACGGACAAGTGCAACTGCAAGATCTCCTATTTGCAGACACCTCACCTGTAATTGCTCCTAACGCATCGCACCAGGCTTTCAAAGTCATACCTTTTGCACACTGACTGCCATATTTCATGTTTACACGAAACAGGTCGGGATTCCAGACCTTCCTCACCACAAAATAACTCTTCACGTTTGATTCATCAATAGAAGACATCGCAAGACTGAGGCTACTGAAACCCAGCAGGACCAGGAAAAGAAAAGAGTTTGGTTTCATCCGGCTGTGAAGAATTTTGTGTTGCGTGTGTTGAAGTCGATCGAAGCTAGCCAGAGCTGCGCAAGGAGGAGAAATCAATCTACTATCAACTAGATCACTCTTGGAACAAAATCACTGCATGCTTGTTTCCTTAAATAGATCCTGATCGACGTTTGCCGACAATTGTGAACCTCTCCAAAGAAACTGAAACGTTATATCCTAAGGACTTCCGTATCTACTCCCTCTTCGTCATCGAATATGACGTTCAATTTAGTCGCATGTTCCGGGTTGACGTCTTGGGAATAATTATTCGGTGTCAAGTTTGTTTGGTTGTCTTTTTGTTTCTAGTCCCCCTCGCAGCCTTTGTTAGCTCTCGTCACGCAATGGGCTCTCTCCCACCGTGACGAGACCAAACAATGGCTTCGAAGGAGACTATTCTCTTACTAACACACTGCTCATTTGTGAAGAGTAGTCTATGTCAAATTGTCGAAGATTGTCTGTTAAAATTGACAAGAAAGCCCAATTATTAAAAAGATCGCAATGGCTCACGATTACGGCGCTCGGCCAAAATCGCAAGGACAGGTCCAGAGCTTTCTTAGACTAACACCGGATGTCACCATAATTAAATTTGATTTTAATCATCATTTTTATGAAAATATATTTTTTTTTCGTAGAAGGGTTCACTGTGAATGATGGCTGTTTAAAAATGAATTTTTAAAAGGGTATGATTGATTGATTGAAAGTTTGCCAGTTAACACTGTTTCACGTGTAAGACTGTTAAATTGGACACATCTGATAGGTAAACTACCCAATCACAACTGTATATATAAATAAGTAACCTCCATTATGATTCTCTCTAGTGAATGCGTGTAATCCTCTGAGTTAATGCATTCCTTTTTGATAAAAGCGAAATTGTTGGCTTCCTGTTGAGTTGCAAGAAATACACTTTCGCGCTGAAAAGCAGGCTAAGCTTCAAAGGTGCGGGAGGCGGGACACGAATATTTCTTTCAGACGCACTCAGGTAACTTTTCTGGGATTCATAACACACCCCACACGTGAATGTTGCACGTACAGTGGTTTTACATAGATCAAAATATCTTGCCCTTTAAAAAAATTTTAACACAATTTTTTTTCTCATTTCCCTTGTAATCCATTGCATGTTCATCAATGAAGTAAACATTCTACAGATTCTACTTTCATTTTCCATTCCTTAACCATCTTGGGAACCTCTTTCACATAGAATTATCTTATCACGGTAACATCTTTAACGCGGCTGAACGTACGTATCATTCAAGTTGACTTAAGGTATTTTTATCTACAAATCGTAACTCAAAGGTTCAATGACAAATCTTTCTTTGCTAAGAATACTATGTTCTATAATACAAAAGTTATTTAATATCTACAATTCCTAGCATAAAAATTTCCTCCTTTCTTTCAAAACTTACCCCTCTATTTGAACCCAGAGATATCATAAAGAAATCTTTGTAACCTCGTTTTCTCGGTCCGTACTGTAAGCAAGGGAACCTCGTTTATTCCGCTGGGATTTATGGCCCGCTCGTGATAAAAAAAATAATAAAAAAAAAACGCGGTCCGTAACTTGCAGTATGGACCTCAAACACGGTTAGTAAGAGGTATTTATTTACTATGTAGTAAAAGTAGATAACATAGGCTGGCATGTAGACTGCCAGAAGTAAAGGTGTTTTAACAAAAGTATGTGATAGTTGGTCCAAATAATTGTAAACTCTACCCTCTACAAGGGTCTCTCTAGGGTTAACCGTAAGCGATAGATCAGGAAGAGATTTAATTAACCGTTAGGCGTAAAATTGTCGAATTTTGACCGTTAGTCGTTACGAAAGTTAAACGAAAACATTTTTCTTATCTTTAATGCCATTTTGAGTCAACCGTTAGCCGTAATATGGCGAAAACCTCAACTGTTCGCCGTAAATGCCATCACCCCATTGAAACCCTCTACTACAAATACAAATCCAGCGAGGACTTGGTCAAAATATTTCTAGTTTTGGCACTTAGCAAACGTTCAAAGTATTTTTAAAACCCTACGAAGGTTTGAAACAGTTCTAGGTAGTTCTAACAAATATTTTCCACTGTCTGCCTGATTTCAATGATTGTTGCAGTTTCTTTGTTCTCATTAAAAAGAAAAAAATTATGTAAACTACGGTAGAACTCCCCTTACTGGAACTTGAAGGAGAAATTGGGGAGTTCGAGTTTCCTGAAAGTTAAAAAACTAAAACAAGTTTCTTCAAGGGGTAGGGCTTTACCACTACGAGTAGGAGGGCAGTCCAGGCTCCCATTCAGGTTCAAGTAAGCAAGGTTCTACAGTACTAAAATATATTTATTCACTGTAATTTATTTGGCTAAGCTCTAAAGCTTACAACTTAAGTTACTGTTAAAGGCTGGTACATGTCATCGCCATTAGCGCCTCTCAGGGCCTCATACACTGACCCGTTGTTGACCTTGCTTTGTTCATAAGGTACATTTAACTCCAGAGTTTGCTCATAGGATGGGTTGTTACGGCTACCGGGAGAACAGGGCTCTCTTGGAGCTGCATACTCTGCCTCACTACTATTTGGTCCAGCATCTGAATCTGGCCCCTCAAGCACATTATATAGGCTTTCATTATTTGCACCATTTTCAAAGGGCCCACGATCAGTATCAGGGCCATTATCTAGGACATTATAGAGTGGTTCCTGTTGGTTCTGTTTGGGGCCAGGCCTCTCAAGCACATTATACAAGTATTCATCATTTGCACCATCTTCGAGGGGTCTACCATTAGTATCGAGGCCATTACCTAGGACATTATAAAGAGGTTCCTGTTGGTCTTGCCTGGGATCGGGCCCCTCAAACACATTATATAAAGGGTTTTCCTCTTGGAGCACCTTACAGCTCCTACCTGCAGGGGGCCTTTCAAGTACGTTATACAGGGAGCCATCTACATTTTCTTGCGCAATATCAGGCTTTTCAAGGGAGTTATAGACAGGCTCTGTCATTGCACTTGATTGTTCCGTTGGTTTCCCTGTGGCATGATGTCCTTTCTTCAGGGCTTGGTACCCTGATGTCTGCGAAACGTTTTCGTCCAGGCTTTGGTAAACGCGGTTGTCATATCGGTTTACTTCAGGTGCGCTGTAAATCGTTCCTCCATACATTGGTTCTGGCGAGGATAATGGGGAAGCAAGGGCAAATTCAGTTCAAAACATCACAATGCTTCATATAAATTCTACCATCATTAAGCATTCTCTTGCACTTAGAATGACCCAATAACTCCCAAGATCTGATTGTTAATCCTCCCCTCTAGCTGCTACATATTTCCTTGTAAAATTAGTCACGAGAATTTGGTGTTAGATCAAGATAACAACCTCTAGTTCAAGAAGTTTGAGTATTCTCATTACCCGTTTGCTGGATAATGTATAAATAGCGTAGGGAGAAATTACATGTTAATCACCTGTGGGAGTTAAGGGTTTAAACATAGAAGAAGGCTTAGTCATGGGCTTTTACTTTTACTTTTACTCACCACTGTCTTGGACAATGTCCTGGTAAGTTGGTTGATTCTCTTGATCACTGAAAGGTTTGACATCCTTTCCCGTTTTCGTTATTACTGGGATTTCAAACTGTGAATTTCCATACACGTTTTCCTGTACTGAAATTAGATAAAATGATTAATGTTAGATTAAATGATCACAGACAATCAGAAAATTTTCATTATTTCAATATTAGTTTCAATGAATTATAATTCACGGCTGTTGTGTAGTTCTGTCACGCAACACTCTTTGGGAGAGAGAGTATTGTGTGACGCAGACAAACAACGAGCAACACGCTCTAAAAGAAAGTGGGATGAGTGGCGTGACCAAACAACAAAAAGAGGGCGTATTGTGTGACGTGACCGGACGACATGTAAAATAATCTGGGTGAAAGAGTCTTGTGTAACGTGGTCAACATCTACAGAGTGCTCTAAGAGTTGTGTTGTGCGGCGAGACCAAATAAAGTGCAAAATGCCTAAGAAGGAAGCGCGTTGTGTGACGTGAACCAACAACGTCCAACATGCTCCCGAAGAAAGCGAGATGTGTGACGTTCCTTTACAAATTCATTGTATGCCTTTACACGCTGTGCTCTGTGGAACAAGGCGTGATATGTGTCTTGAAATTTGCAGTGCACATGTTAAGAGACGTGGCCAAACAATGTGCAAAAAGGGTCTGGAAGAAAGCGTGTCTTGTGAAGAGACCAAGAGAACATCAGCTGATATTCTCTTGGAGGAGACTAAATAACGGCTGCAAGGGAGACCATACTTGGCTGTGACTGGGGTCTGAATGACACAAACTCATATTCTTTTGAACTGTTGATTGATTAAGTAAAACATGTTAGTGGCTTCATATGGTATTTATTGCAAGACAAATTGCTGCACTATTCAAGTTAGATAACTGCTAAGGAAAAGATCATTTACCTGTTGACGATGTTCCTTGCTGACTTTTTTTCCTAAGTAAGAAATTCCAATACAAAATATATTTAGAATGCAGAGTTGTTCAGTTATAACGTACTTAAAATGTTTCTGTTTTAGTACAGTCTATGAAAAATCAGTCTTGTTCAACACAAGGTAAAAAACAGTTGTGATAAGTCTAGAGATTCAAAAAAATTCTGACAAAATTGTCAAAAAGACTACCACAAGGAGCGATCAACCATGTGGCAGAAGATACTTTTGAGAGTAATTTTACGATTTGACCATTCAAATCTGATTACCACTGGTATCGGCCCGGTTGAAACATTCATAACTTGAGTCTCTTAGAGCCGTTTTCCAGTTCTTGCAAGATCCTTTTAACCATTTAAAACCCCTGAGTGATTGTCATCTAGTTTCTCCCTAAAGTATTACTGCTGGATCATTCTGTACGGTCATGAGAACAAAGGGAATGATTGCCAAACCCAAGAAACTTTGATTGTTAAATGAATTCTCATTGTCAGTACTAAAGGAAATGTATAGAGAAAGTACGGAGAATACAAATACTGATGTTATAACACAATCATTATTAGATTTATTATCATAAATTAATAGCACCATCTGAAAGCCATTTAATCTGAGAATGGTTGTACACACACATGAACAAGCATATATAGTTGATCAAACTTACAATTTTCTCCTCTTGCAAAACACAACAAGAACAATAAGGATAATTGCAAACACAACTGCACATGCCACAGCAACACCAATCAAAACTCCAGATCCACTGTTGCTCACACTCGTTCTTGCATCTTTATCACTAGTGCCTCCCACAGGTTCTGTCACTAAAGACATCTGCAAGGAATATTAAACAATTATTCATCGAAGCTGAGGAAAATAATTGTTTTAGTACATACCACACAAATACGAAAACCTAGTTTACTTCTTTCAATATATCGAAAAATGGTCGCAAATGAAACTTTGTCTCTTCCGCTCCTCGAAGGTAAATGATACTTCCTATTCAATTCCGAACTAGCCAATCAGCAGGCGCAACAGTAAACCCATAAGAAATTGAAACGTTGTAAGTTTATTTAATAAAAGTAATAAACCGCACTTTCTACCGGTTTACCGGCGTAATGTCCCACTTGGGATGTTGCGAGAACACGAGAAAATTTTGTAAATCACTCGCCTCCGATTCTTGATTAACAAACTTTTCTAGTGTTCTCCCCACATGCTACGATAGAAACCGATAGAAAATGCGGTCTACTGCTTAAAATGCAACTCCATACAACCAGTATACCATAAAAATTCTGTATAAAATCTAATCTGTTCATAAGCTCCTAATATTACGCAGACAAAAAAGCCGCGCAAATTAAACTAAATGAGACAAACCAGTGATAGGTATTTTGTATTTCTTTGTGTTGCAGACAATTTTTCTATAGTTACAGTAACTGCGCACCCATTTTACAACCTATACCATTTTCAATGAGGATTTTTAAGACTATTTTTGAAGTTCTCACCCCCATCAATTGCGGTCACAAATGGATATAGTAACTCCGACAATTAAAAAATCAACTGCTTCCTAAACACAAATAGTAACTCCAACTGTAAGGCACACCAAACAGAAGCCGCTGAAGAAGACTCTTGAAAGACATAAACCCCGGGCTTATTTTTGTTTCAAATATTTATGGCAACTTCTTTTAGCTTTAAGCATTTCTTCGCCCGCTGGAAAATATACAGCCTCAAGCAAGACGTCTGTAAGGGGTATAGCACTGTAATTACTAGTGCCATGCCCCCGGCAAACTTCTCCCTGACTTGTCTTAAATCTTCCCGCGAGCTGAAAAACGCGCGTCCAATAGCGTTGATCATAAGAACCTGCGTGCGGGCGAAGAAACTCTACACTAGTTAGGTTTATATTTCTCTTCGTACTAGAGGAACTGTCCTCTACTACGAAAACTACTACTGTCCGAGAAATTTTCTATTTTCATCTACAAAAAATTCATCAACCACCTCAAAAGAACAAACAGTACTGAACATTTAACAGCCTTTTGATAAAGAAGACTATATCCAGAACAAACCTTGGAAGATTTTGTTGGTTCTGTAAAAAGAGTCGCTGTGGTCACTGGAGAAATATACGGTGTTGTTTCTGTAAAAACAGTCACTGCGGTCACTGGAGAAATATACGGTGTTGTCTTTGGCATAGTGCTTAGATCCACTGAAAAGTGAGAGAAACATTGTCACAAAAATGGTAAAAAATTATCGATTATTGTTTTTAATTTGCCATATTTGTTACTATAACATAGCAGTGCATTCCCCTTTAATAAGATGATAATTAATTTCATGTTACTCAGCCCCCATCAGTAATTAACAAGATATCTAGCTGAAAAATAACTTGCTGCCAACGATTTGGTGTCAGCCATAGTAACCAAAAAGGTCTGGGTTAAAGCCCGACTGGCCAGGGTCATCAGGGTGGCATTCTAGGGGGAAGACACTTAACCATCACAAAGCGTCTCTCTTTTCACAGCTGTACAAAATACTGCAAGGGTAGCACTGCTGCAACAGGAACACTATCTAGTACTCCAACTTGCCTCTTGCTACCAGCAACTCTTACTAACCAAGTTTGCAGGAGCTCAGTATTATACGTTACAGACCAAGTTTTAACTGCTTGAATTTATGGTCCAAGCGCAAAAAGAAAATGAGGTTAGTATGATTTTTATTATATCTTTAGGTTCAAATTGAGGAGGAAGATTTCAATTTAAACAAAATTTTGAAGTTAGTGGTCTGTACGGCGAAATATGGCCTGCTTAATTGACCAATCATAGCGCACATACAAACTGAGACATAATAAAAAACTGCATTTTAATGTTGAGCTGCACAAACGATACCAACATGCAGGTTACGTGGTTAGATCCTTTACCGCACTTTTTCCTGGTAATAAATATTGTAAATTAGAATTAATACCACTTAGAATTATTACTTACCTCAAACATCAATAATTCTACATTTTAAAATACTGCGAGTCTACTATTTTCATACTCTTAACACCTCAGATTAAAAATCGCTGCATTCTTAAAATTTCAAGAAAAACATACTCACAAGTGATTTTTCCTGAGGTCTTGAAAACCAGACAAGCAGTTTTAGGTGGTCTAGATGCAGGAGCTGAATAATTACAAGTGATCTTTACTTGCACAATTCTTCCCAAGAAGTCCTTTTCGGTGGTATCTGCCCACTACAGTAATGCAAGCAAAACGGACACAATATAAATCCATTTATAAAGAGTCTGGAACATGATAATGACATTTATAGGGATGGGGTTTGGCCTAAAATTGAAAATACTGGAATCAGTCTAAACAAAACTTTTTAGGCACAGCTAACCTTACCTTCATTCGATTACCACAAAAAAAAAAAACTAACCCAGCAATTAAATACTATTTATAACAGGCGTCTTCCTAATTTTTAAGACTTTCATCTTCTTACTTAACATACTTTTTCCACAAATAGTCCTCAAATCACCACACTTTGTAGAGAGCTCCCTTAGACACTTAAAACTCTAAGTATTGCTAAAGGTGGCCCAGCTTTCCACAACCTACTCACAGCCTATAGTCCAGAGGTCCAGGACCCACAGCCCGAGCCCCCGTGACCTGAACTTGATGCTCATTTTAGGCCTGTTTTGGTAAGGGGACCTTCAACAAAATTTTCCAGTAAAAGTTGTTATCTTAATCTAACACCAAATTCTTGTAACTAACTTGCAAGGAAATGTGTTTGCAACTAGTGGGGAGAATTAACAATCAGATCTTGGGAGTTGAAGGGTTAAAACATCTCTATCATTGCAATTTTTGATGACACTTTACTTCCTATGAAATGAGTTGCAGACTGCTGGGCAGTGAATTCCAGTTATGGGCTGTGAGTCACAGGCCATAATGGCTGCTGGACTGCTGGCTACTATGCATTATCATTTTAAAAACTTCAGGTACAGAACCTTGAAGACTAGATTGCTTTGTGTTTTTTCCATTTTGAACATTTCTGCGTTTATCCCCACCCACTTGTTTTCCAGTTGATAGTTGTAGTATGCGGCACTTCCAGGAACAACTTGACAGCTTTCATAGGCAATAGCTGGCACAATATTCTCTTGTCCTTCATTTGCCAGGTTGAGGGAATTCAGGAAAAGGTCCCACTCAAAGAAACGGGAGCAAACTGGGAAAAAAAAAATCCAATCAAAGCATACCAATCATATATGTCTAGGAATAACAGATTAAGCCTTACAGTCACCATTAATTTGGATTACAGAGTTTTAATAAGTGCTGCAAATGCCACCATCAGCCCTGCCCAGAGTGCAGAGTGGCCTTCCAATGGACACCTGACAGTACACAAAAGAGAGGCCACCCCAAGGAAACTTGGAGAAGAACAACAAAAAGAGAGGCTGAACATGGAGGAACAATCAACAGAAATCAAAAGTTGTGTTCTCTGGCCAAGACTTAATGTGCATAGATGCACCAAGAGGTCATTGACTTACTAACTAATATAAGGTTTGGTGAAGGTAGTTGTAAATTGAACTGCCTCTGAAAGTTTCTGCTGTACTTCACTGTATTTGTATTTTTAGGTACACCACCATAAGGGAAAAGCCAAAGGCTGAATTGGCTGTTCATATTTAAAATAATTCTAATTTACACAATTTCCAAAACACAGTTTGTGTATGAGTGAGAATGCCGAAGCCTTATTTTAATTTGGAGATGCTTAAAAATGCTGAATACCTTTCTCCATTAGGATGCAGATGAAAAAGTAAGTAGAAAACATTATGAAGTCCATTTCAAAGAGTCAGAAGTTATGTCTTCTATATATAAGATCCACGTTAGACATATGCAAAGCAGAACAGTTGGCGAGTAAGCAATTTGAAGCTCTTTCCTTAATGAATTTGTGCACTGATATTCTATAACTTATACAGTTACTGAAGCAAATTTAAATTCACCCACCAGCATTATCATTACATCCGTATACTTCAACTCTGAGACATCTGTACCCTGGTGTGTTATACTCGTTAGGATATATTCTCAGAAATCTTGTTTCAAAAGACCCTCTGAAGAAGTTGTATTTCACACTGTCTGTATCACTATTTCCAGTAAATTTCTGAAAGCAGACATTCAGTTAAACACACTTTTATAAGTATGAAAAATGTAGATTGTCTTTATCTCCTCCTGATATCATCAAGTAAAAAATAATGAAAAAAGGCTTGGTTAGTATACACAAAAAAGAGTCAAATTCTCTCAGAGGATGTAAAAATGTTCCAAATTTTTAATATCTTTTATCTATAAATTTCATAAGGAAAAAAAGAGAATTAAAACAAATATTTATATCACAACTAAATAAATATAAAACAACTCCCCATAGTATAAAGAAACCAGCTTTGAAGATGTTCAGAATATCAAAGAAAATAACAAAAACCAATGGGTGGGAGGGGAGGGGTCAGGGGTTGTTCCATGTACTAAGTCTGATGGTTAATATTTTTTGCTTACATATTGCATTATTGTGGTAGTGAGAGTAATCTTTTTTTCATTGCTACATGCTTGATTATATTGGTCTGAAAACATAGTATATAACTTATCTTTGTATTTGTAAATTTGTCAATGGCTGTTTAAAATTGATGAAATATTTGTATCATGACCCCAAAGCACAACTAATTTGATTTTATTATCTTATTAATACCAAAGCAAATGGTCATCTTGTTGAGTAATGCTCCTGAAAGAATGAATTTTAACATCTGTCATAATATTAAATATTCAGTACCTTTTTTTCACCGTTTTTATCCTTCCTGTAGGCAAACCATTTTACACTGTCATAACTGTACTGTATCTCGTATGTTTTAACATAATTATGGAAAAATCCTCTGTATCCTTGAGTTGCAAGTGCTGATACATGCCTGACCTTCAGTAAGTCAATCTCAAAATATTCATCAATTCTATTGGTGCACCAGGCTCTCTCATTATTCAGTCTTCCTTTTGAAGGATTAAAGCTAAGAAAATGGTGCGAGGCTTTTAGTTGAGAATCACTGATTTTTCCACTTTCCAAACCAAGTGCTTGTGAACAATCTACAAAGTAATTAACCACAGGTGACAAATTAATCCATCATAAACAGGGACTCTATAATCAATTTAATAGATGATTTTTTTTAATAAAATAGGCGATTGCAATAACAGAGAGAATTTTTTTTTGTAAATCTGCCAATCTTACAGAGTTCTCAAGTTGATTTGGTACCAAAGAGTGAGATTTTTGACTGTATACTATCAGGTGTAATGACTCATCCATCATCTCTTTGGGAGGGGGGGGGGAAGAAGGTGTGGAGGCACACAACCCAGGAAAGCTGTGAAAAAAATAGAGCAGCTTAAACATCTTTTACTTTATTCTAAGTGTTTGGGACATTCCATGCCACTGGTCCAAGGTCAATGTGTGAGCATCTGCAACAATCAATAAACACACTGACTGGTGTAACAGAGGCTCTGCACAAGAATTTCCACTGTCAGAAAGAGGTTGGAGTACAAAGGGAACAGAGTGTATATTGCATCTGATAAGATAATTAAATTGACATGTACTTCACTACAGCAGCAGTTTGCTTTCTCAAAACCAACAGTTTTAATCAGGAACCTCAAATGTATGAGAAGCAATAGTTTCAAAGTGAGCACATAAAATTAAATTTGTTTGCTTCAGTCTCTTGCTTAATGCAAGAGCTCTGATCTTAAGAAAGAAGGTGGGTCACAAGACTGGTTCATTCTATAAATTATTTGAATATGAAAATGCTCTTTGCAGTAATGAACACTACCTGAGCAGTAATGAAAATAAGGCCTGAATTTTTTCAGGCCTGTACGAAATTTGAACCCTATACAGGCCTGAATTTTTTTTTTCAGGCCTTATTTTCACTACTGCTCAGCTAGTGTTCATTACTGCAAAGATTGCTTTCATATTAATTTCTTTATCTGCAGTTCACATACATGATTTTCATATATTCACAGTCATTTATCCATAAATTATTAATAAAATAAATTGTAAAAGGCCTTTTCCATAACATTATACAATCCATACCAGGGAAAGTTGAAAAATAATGTCTTTTAGGAAAACCATGCTGACCCTTAAGAGTGACTAGCATCTAATTTCTCCTAACCATATCAACGCTGAATCACACATTAAGGTCATGAGAATAAAGAAAATTATCACCACCTAGAAAAATCTCTTAATTTTTGTAAAAAAATTCTTCTTCTCAGCACTTTTTAATTACTGTACAAAATGTAAAGAGAGTAGTATGGAGAATGTGCAAACTGATTTTCTGGTATAAAGGGATAAGAATTAGCAAATGTTCCCACTGTAAACAATAGGGCCACCGTGACAACTAAAATTTTAGATCTTTCAAATGTTGAAAGTCATTTGAAAAAGAGGCAAAACAGTATTTCAAGAAACCTATACATCTTAGGAAGAATTTATTACACACTTGATGTCTTTGTAGATTCCTCTTTGTCTGTTATATATTAATTTATGAATCAATATTTCTCTTATTCATGTAAACTATTCATATTTAGCTATAAGATGTCATGGACACCAATAAAAGGAATGTTTTATTTATTGCCATCATCCCATAATCACTCTAATTAACAGGTCCCTATAAGCTCATACCTTTGCAGAGCTTCAGGCAAGAGGCTCAATTTAGAGGGGGCCTTTTTCCTTATTAGAGAGGGGGTTAGGGTTTATCCAAAACTTGTCACTTCTTTGCTTCTGAGGTCTTACCCAGCTAAGCTCCCCCTTAGATATGCCAGATCCCCTTAAACAAATAACTTGAAAATAAAAATAATGGGTAAAACACTATTGCTAGGGTAATGCTATGCAATTGATCATAACATTGTATTGTTCACCATCTGGGCTTGGTATAATAACGTTTCTGTTAAACTATTCGTGTGTTTTGTCTAATCCCAAAGAAAATTTATCATAGAGTGTTTAATTTAGTATTACTAATCTTAAGTCTCCTCGCACTCGTTTTATGGATCATCTTAAAAATACAAGGAAAACTCAATTTCATTTATTTAGTAATAATTGCTATCATGATGATATTAATTCATACTCCTGTAAACGCCTTCAATACAAATTAATTCACTTACTTCCAAACAGAGATTTTTTTATACTTGCTGTATCACCACAACTGCCTAATTCCGGGAGAAAGGTTGGAGTGTTCCTCTTACACGAACAGCTACATGGTGTGGTATTGTTTTCAAAAGCCGAAGTGTTAGCACAAACATCTGAAGGGCATTGGAAGCCAGTTTTGTACTGAACTCTAAACACGTCAGTATCATGTCTTCCCCTTCTCGTTATCACGTACTTCTCAACACCATCCGCTTTTAAAGTAGCAAGCGATGAAGTAGGTTGAAGTGTGGTTATATACAACACCAAAATAACGATTCTTGTTAAGGAGCAAGTTGCCAGCTTCGTCGAACCCACGTACATTATTAATTCGCGCAAACAAACCACAACTGTCTCCGGTTACACTTTGCGATTGACCGTTTGCATTTTATCTCGGTATACGACTGGAATCAAAGACATTACTTTAACGGCGGGTTTGTTTATAATCCAAAACAATATCTCTCTGCGATCCCGATAAGCCCGATTATGTCGGTGTGTCAATTTTGCATCCACTTGGGAGACCGTGATATTCCAGAAGCTCAATTACGTCACGTTTCATACGTAGGTGACGTCAAAAAGTAAATACCAGAATTCAAGGTCCTCGTTTTCTGAACCGTATAAGGCACAGTTTCCGTAAACGCCTGTTGGTTTATTTATTTTGGATATCTTCCTTGAGAAATAATTCTCGGAAACTATGCGTCAGCTAATAGGAAAAGAAGTAAAATATAGTCAGACAAAACTTCAAAGATGTCGACTGCATATGCTTACTCTTGAGGAATCGAGAAATACAAAGCGCAGTTTTAAGAATCTCTAGCTAGTAAGTGGGTTTATTCGCCTTTATATAAAGAACGATGGGTCTGTAACCTTTTCGGCATCAAAACTGTGGGTCTGACTGCTTTATATGTAAGACAACACTTTTAAATCAAACTGAACAGAGATAGCAATTAGAGAAGTTCCGCTGGCTGTCAGTTGCTGACGTGAATAAACCGTATCATCTTGACGCGGAGGAAGGATAATACAGCTTGAGGATTATTTAGGGTTAAAATCATCATCTCTTTATCTTAATAATTGTCATGGGGAAGGGAATCATCGATAAGTGAAAATCATGCATGATTGCGTCACGGACCACTTAACACAACCGCTTCAGCCAATTTTCTTAATGACATTTCTCAACTTCAGCGGTGCGCATACTTTGAATATTCAACAAATGTTCTGTTAACTTCTGGAATAAAAGCTGACGCATGATGACTGGGAACATTTAGGAGATGCCAGTGAAACCAAAAATGGTTGAAACGTGCCTTTAAGAACAGAAACGAAACAGCAACATGAAACTGAAATGGAACACACCGTAAGAGGTGGTCTCTTGTTTAGAGAGTTAGGAGAAAGTTCTGAGCACTGTTTTTCTTTCCTGTTTACTTGCGGTTTTTGTTACCATTCTGTGCTATTACGCATCACATATTAAACTGAATCACTCAAGATCAGAATTTCTTGACTTCCGCCCTTGGCAGGCCCGAAAGTGGTAGGTACTTGCCAGAACGCACCGATTTAACTCCCAATAATAACTTGTGCACTTCACACTCTACTTCGTACGGTTCTTTCACCCCCTCCCCCCAAGTAAAGAGTGAGCACCAACATGGACGACAAAAGTAGATCGCTTCTCATTCTATCTCCACTTACACAAACAGTTGTATCATTTCCATAAAAGTATTATTCGTAAAGTTAGTTAAGTAAAACGTATAATCTTGAGCCCCATTGGCGATGACTGCCATAAAACCACCATTTACGTCATAATAAGTCAGTCTGAACAAAGGAAAATACTACAAGAGGCCAATAACCGGACTCAAAGCAAATACACGTCATCATCCTAAAGCGCGGGAAAATGCAAATAAACCCACCGCCACTGGTTTTTCTTTTGCATATGATTGGTTGAGAAGATGGCGCGAGTTTCCCCTTGAACAATCAAAGATAAAGTTGAATAGAAACCAATGCACCTTGAGATTATTTGAGATTACTCTAACAACAAAATTTGTTAAGTTTATCTGCAAGAGTTATCTCCATAGCTGAAAGCTAAACATCTAATTACAGTTATTTCTACAATAATTTTTGCCTTTTTTACACGGAGACCATTATAGAGAGACATATGTCTCTAATACATAAACAGTCTTTCTTGACAGACGGTAATACTTTAAGTAGCTCCTTTGACTCTCTCACAAATAACTTTGAGCAACTCATTATTCATTTTTCATCAATTTTATACGTTTTCTTAACAAAAAAAACTGTATACAACGTATCGATACCATCTGAACTAACTTAAATTATCCTTTAAAAAGTTCGATAAAAATTAACGCAATCAAAGCTTGTCTTAAAGAAAAAGTTATCGACACTCAATAACAATAATAACTTACCAACCACAAAAAAAAATTAGACAAGAAGGCAGGTTCTTATTTAGTAATATATATCTGCGTAACACGCATACCTTAAAATTTCAGTCGCTTAAGCACAGTATGTACTAAATTATATAAAACTAAACTCATTAATTTAAAATAGCTGAATTTGTAAAACATGGCCTTCTTTGAAAATGGGCTCAGTTCTAGCGTTTTTAGTCATCCACCCGAAAAATTTAAGACCCGAGTGATCAGTAATAAACTGATTCCCTAATTTCTCGAGCAGCTACAGCCTAGTTCCGAGGCCCTCTCTCTAGCGTCTTTGACCTCATGAAGCCTGGAGAGGAGCCTCTCGTGGGAATGTCTCCAAAGGGATTATTGCCTGCGTTGCAGTCTGCGTATCTGAATTCTTTACAGGAATTTTTCATCACGGGCCTCTAGGGCTTCGCAACGTTTAGAAAACCGGTCATCTCATGAAACCTTTAAGCTTTCATCTAGGTCAGTAAAAAGCCTATAGAAGATTATCAAACTGAAAGCGTTTTGAAATTCCAAAGATAGCCTCTTTCTGTTATTTTCAAAATGGCAACGGTCAAATTGGAGTTTTGAGCACCTTTTGAACCAAGTTTCTTGACGTTACGTCCCTCTTTGGAATCTCAAAATGCGGTATGCTGTAAATTTCTTTACTAACTTTTTATTACCGGAAATAAAAATTGAATGGTTGTTTGGGAATCCTTCTCCTTCAAGTGAGCTAAGTACACTACAGAACTGAGCTGAATCTGAGATCTTGAGTCTTTTCCAAATTGAAAAAAACATGTGAAAGTTAACCCTTTAACTCCCGTGACTAAAGCCCCTTCTACGGATAAAGTGCGTGGTAATATTAATGGATTTTCATTCGCAACTTCTCCGTGTCCGTGTAGAGGACTGATTATAAGATAGTGCCCGTGGTACAGTTGGCCGCGCATGCTAAAAGTAGCACCTTGTACGGTCGGTCGTACAGTCGTTCGGTCGCACATCCCAATTTTTTCGGCTTGATGGGTCACTACTATTTTGTATAATTATGGGGCTACGCTCTGCGAGCTCCGCTATAATGTTTCCTATGATGTACATAAATGAGAGAGAAATGCAAAACAATGCGTTATTTTGTTCATAATTGACTAGCAGTGATGGTGTTACAGGAATGGAGGATGAGAGATGGGCAAGACAAAATGTGGGAACGTGGGAACTGAGACCATCCTTAACCCTGTCAACTATTATAATCCAATCGCTTAATTTGGGAGAACTTCGATATAATCATCTGCTTGTAATGAGTCATCACCCTCCTTGTCATGCGAGGGCTCCTTTGAAGAGGCCCCTGGTGATCTAGGAGAATTAGGTCCTTGGAAGGTTGTATTTTTCGGTGACGAAAGAACATCAGCTTGTCTATGGGAGTCAAGACTGTCTAAACTTGAGCGACTGGCTGTTAACATAATGATTCCTTCTGGTTTAGCATAATCATAGGTTTTATCGTTATGCTTATACTGAGGCGGCTTTGGACTTTGGACTTCGCTGAGAATAGCTCCATCTGGGTGACAATCGGCAGATCCTGTTACTTCCAGTGGAATTAAGTAACCAGAATGATCTGAAAAGAAGAAGCGCGAGAAGAGGCAATGATAGATAAGATTTAAGTTATATCTCTTACTAATTGAGTTAGCAGAGTAAGATATGGACCAACTTTTTCCACTCGCATTTGCGGCTCAGGCACAAAGCAAAAAGGGAAAGGTACATGACAGACCGAAAAAAAAAAGTTTGTAAGATATTCATTATATCTCTCGGTTCAATTAGAGGGGAGAGATTCAAGGTAAAGAAACTTTAAATTTAGCGGGCTCCACAGTGATAAGCGACCCCCAACCTTAACCAATCATAGCAATCATAGCACACGCACTAATTGAGAGATATAATTAATCTACGTATGGGTGTCATGAAATAGTCGTACAACAATTTCTCCCAACAGACTTGATATAAATAATAATATACACATCTACAGATTGAAGTTGTCCCTCTTTGCTCGCAGCATGAAAAGGGGAAATTTTCATAAAATAAAAGTCTGACAAAGTGAAGAAGGGTAAGCCTTGGGACTTTTAAAAATAAATAATTAACAGACAAAGATATACCGTATCAAGTGGTGCTTGTCCCTTTATAGGGTTAGTGTGCACCACATAACATACCTTCTTTAGGCTTGATCAGATTTTGATACTTTGAGCGACATCTATCAGGTGCAGGTTTCAAGAGTGTATATTCCTCGCACGACGGACTTCCTATTTCTGCATAAACTGCTTCACCAACAGCTCGTCGGCCTTCAGATGGGGGAAAGGGTATTATAACCTCCTCCTCTTGGTTAGAGAATGCATTACCTAATACAATCAAAAAATAAGTCAGAATAGATCATATCAAGCATATGCATGTTTAAGGGAGACGAACGAAATAGACATGCAAGAGAAAGTAATAAAACTTACCAACATGAAGCCTTGCTGTGTGCTTTTTTCGTTTCCTTCGACTCCTGATGAGATGAGCAATTATTTGTAAATCAATGAGACAATTGTTGCACTTCATGCAAGATCCTTTTAACCATTCAAAACCCCTGAGTGTCAGCATCTTATTTCTCTTAACACTAATATTGCTGAATAATCTATTACGATCATGAGAACAAAAGGAATGATTGCCACCCTAAGAAGCTTTGATTGTTAAATTAATTCTCCTTGTCAGTACCAAAGGAAATGTATAAAGAAGGTATGGAGTATATGAATACTGATGTCATGGCACAATCACTATTAGATTCATTATCATTAATTATCAGCACCATCAGTAGTTATGTTGGTTCTGGCAAGTTTTAAAATCAACCTTGATTTCAAGTCAACGCATGAATGTAACCTTGATTTCAAAAACATTTCTTGCACATTTTGAAATCAGCTCTGATTTTAAAAGCAACTTTAATTGTTCACAGGTGAATAATTTTCACATTCTCTTCACAATGTCTCTCTCTTGATTTCTGAAGAGGGTGTGAACATTATCATCTTGAATGATCCTCTTATCGCACCATCAGCATCGTTGAAAGGGTGTTGATTGTTTGGGTGAAGATTTTCAAATATCAATGTTGTATCTTCTCGCAAAGAAGTCGTGATGTGCCTTGAATTGTTATTCAGTCAAAATTGTGTCTTTGTAAATGAGAAGTAATGTCATTAATAAGTCACGCTTTCAAGCTCACGGTTCATGATTTTGAGTTGAGCACCAGAGAGGATGAGGATTTGACATTTAACATTCTCTGAGCCTGATACTTACCTGTCAATTGCGAGCTGAACTCCTTCTTTCGTATTCACAAATCTCAATCCACTTCCATGACGATCATTGTCATTCATGCTTCTGAGATCGATGAATGGATTGAATCTGTCTCCGGTATAAGAGTCTATTGCATTCATCGCGCTGTTTTCCTTACCAAATCTTCTGAAGACTTCTTCCCACATATCTCCTATCTTCATTCCTTGACTGTAATTTTTATTTGGGATTCCACTGACAATCACCTTCACCTCGGTGATGTTAGGATTAAACGTCTTCTCTTTCCTCTTCTCTTTCCATTTTTGTAGTTAGACAAGTCCTCATCAGCGAGGTTTTGACTGTATATAACTTCATACCCAAGCTGGATATAATTTAATTCGTAAGCAAGATTTTCTAGTTCGGATCCTATTACAACACTGCCGACAGGTGCAACCCTGAGCTCGAAAATAAGCTCATCAGAAAGAGCTCTTGAGAAGAAAACCCCATGATCCTTCAGAATCTCACGATCCAATGGAATTATTAACATAATTTATCCTGAGGCAAAAGCTTTGGAACTTGAGGTCTCTTACAGTAAAGCTGGAAGGTTGCAGGTAAAGATGTTTGGTTAGGGCAAGAAGAGATATCCCTTGTGTTTTAGAGAAAGGGGTACCAAAGAGCAAAGAATGAATCCATCACTACCAAAACAAATCAAAACCTTACTTTGCCCAGAGCGAGAGGTTTTGATTGCTCAGAAGGATGACGAAATTAAAGAGAAACAGAAGTCCATTCAGGACGATCTGGGGATTGTCAATGATGAGAACGAAGATCGAGCAACAAGAGAAAGAGAAAGAGAAAGGATAACAGAGAATTGAGAATGAGAGAGAAGAACTTGAAGAAGGCACTTCAAAAAGAGAGAGAGTGAGAAACATGTTCTAGAGGTATGGCTTGACGGTCTCAGTTGTTGTACTCGCAGTCGAAACAGCGATTGGACTGATTGTGAGCGCATTGACAAGAGGCCTGAAATTTATGGTAAAAGGAGTTAAAAATTATTTTAGGACTCTTGGAAGTAAGATCGCGGGAATTCTCCCAGGTCTCATTGGTTCAATAGTCAGCTTCATTTCCAAGACTGCTGGATAAGTGATCAGCTACCTTGGTCAAAATGCATGGCTTCTGATAGTGGGAGTCGTGATATTCATGGTTGAACGCTTTCAGAAGAAGAATCGATGAATCAAGAAGTCCGAGGCCAGTCCAGCTGAAATCAAACCGACTTTAATTATGTCATGATTCGTCTCGCTGTTGCTCCTGCTTGGGTTACAGTATTCTCGTCAAATGGAACTGCCAGTACCTCCTTCTTTCCTATTCGATTCAGAGCGATTTCATGGGGAAAACCTCCAATTCCAAGTGCCTTCTTCATGTCATCACCGCAATATCTTCTATGTGAGCCTGAGACGCTCGACTGAACTCCATCTCATCAACTGAAGCCTAATGAGAGAGCATCGCAGGACAAGAGTCATGATGATTTTGAATTGAGAAATTGTTAGAAAAGAATTATTCACTGAGAGTGTGAACTTCTAAATGCTCATTACTCTTGACATACATCTTGCGGAATACAGACCTTTGAACGGCTGCTCTAACATCGAACTCCCAGAATTTTTATCATCAAGAGCTAATCATCTACAGAGCAAAGAGTGAGAATGACGATGTTGCTCAGATCTTTTTTGAAATGCTTGAAGAAAAGATCAAACTTCAAAAGAAAGATGGTGCTAAGCGATGAAGGCAGGTTTGAGTTCAACAATTCTGCGTACTGTTGGATTTGAAAGAGTTCAATTAATAATGATAAAGTGAGAGACCATTGTCATTTAACAGGGAAGTATAGAGGAGCAGCCCACTACATATGCAACCTACAATTCAAGAAGCCGAAGTTCATTCCTGTCATCTTTCTGAAGAATTCAGAAACGTTTGTCTTGACAATTATGAGGTTGACCCTGCCTAGTATTTCACCGATGATTGAAAAAGGAATTCGCGGAGGAATCTCAGTGATCTGAAATCACTTTGGAGGGGCAATTAATCTATACATGGGTGAAGCTTATGATGTGTCAAAGCTAACGAAATACATCACCTATCCTGATACAAACAATCTTTATGGATGGGCAATGTGTCAAAATGTGCCAGCCTCTTCCTGTCAGAGGTTTCAAGTGGATGACTACATTAGACAACTGGAGAAATATTCCTTGCATTCTTGTGGTAGATCTTGAATATCCAAAAGAGCATCATGACTTGCATAACGATTATCCGCTTGCTCCGCAGAGGCTTATGATCAAAAAAGTAGAGAAGCCGAAACCTAATCTGAACGATAAGGAGAAGTATTATATTCATTATAAGAACCTCAAACAATATTTAGACCTTGGTTTGAGGACCAAAGGAGTTATAGAGGAATCAGTTTCAAAGAAGAGCCTTAGCTGAAGAAATACATTGACCTAAACACGAAGCTGTGCACAAATGCAAGAGAATTAATAAAAAAAACTTTTTTCAAGATTATGAACAATTCTGTTTTCTGAAAAACTATGGAAAACGTCAGGAATCGTGTGTACGTGAGATTAGTAACCAACCGAAAGAAAACATCAAAACTTGCAGCAAACCCAACTTCAAGAAATTGACCATATTCGATGAAAATCTTGTTGAATCCCTCATGAAGCGAACTAAGCTGGTGTTCGATAAACCAGTCTATTGTGAAATGTGCATCCTCGATATCAGCATGAATCGGGTGTGACTTCCACTATAACTACATCAAAGAGGAATATGGAGGTCGTGCAAAGCTTCTATTCACAGACACCGACTATACTAAACGTTGCAAAGCTTTGGCTGATGAAGCAAGCCATCTAGCAGATTTATTCACCTACCCCGAAACATATCCCGAGACCAACTTTTGATGTTGAATCTCCAAATGCAGTTCATCACGCTGATCTTCTTTTCCTTCCTTATGACAAAGAGACCGAAAGGTCGCGGAAAGTCTACAAGTATGCATAAAAAGTTGATGTTACAAGCAGACTCAAGGCTGGTGAACCTCTCACCTCAAAAGATTCTCCTGAGGTCTCAAAGGCTTTTCAGACAGTCTATAAGCGTGACAAGAGGATCATTTAAGATGATAATAATCAAACCCTCTACATAACTCAAGAGCGAGACATTGTGAAGAGGGTGTCAAAATTATTCACCTACCTATTCAATAATTCAAGTTGCCTTTAAAATCGAGTTTGCATAATTTCAAAATGTGCAAGAACTGTTTTTTGAAATCAAGGTTGATTTCAAGGTTGACTTGAAATCAATCTTAAATTCATGAGTTGACTTGAAAGCAAAATTGATTTCAAAATGTATCAGAACCCACTTTTTGTAACTACTCCATCTGCGAGCCATTTAATCTGAGATAGGTTGTACTCGCACGTGTAGTTGATGGAACTTACAATTTTCTCCTCTTGCAAAATACAACGAGGAGAATAAGGATAATTGCAAACACAACTGCACATGCCACAGCAACACCAATCAAAACTCCAGATCCACTGCTGCTTCCATTCGTACTTGTGTCTTTTTCATCTGTGTCTTCAACAGGTTCTGTCACTAAATACATCTGCAAGGAATGTTAAACAATTATTCACCAAAGTTGAGGTGAACAATTGTTGTAGTATACACCAAACAGATACGAAAAACTAGTTTATTTCTTTCAATATACCGAAAAATGGTCGCAAATTAAATTTATCTCTTCTGCTGCTCAGAGGTAAATACTACTTCCTTTTGACTTCCTATCTAGCCAATCAGTGGGCGCGAAATGCAGTATTCACTTGAGTGGTATATACTAACATCTTTTAGCAGTATACTAAAACATTGTGTAGCGTTGAAAGCAGGCTCTGATTGGCTACACAACGTATGAACATCCTTTACTATTCACCTCTGAGTAATGCACGCAGGATTTTTTCCCGAATATATTGTAACTGTTGCAGGAATAGATTAGTTAAAATCATATTTTTTTGCGACTACATTATGTCTCCGTTTTAGAACATACTATAACAACTATTCACCTCAGAGTCGGTGACGAGTGGTGGATATGTAAATATCCACCACTAGTCACTAGTCACCTTCACTTCGGTGAGTAGTCGTTAATTGTTGTTGGTCTACTAAATTGATGAACCGCATAAGCCTTACCTTATAATTATTTAGTTATTATTAGTTATAATTATAACTGAAATGCTACGAGCGACCTGACCGACTTGAAAATTGGCTTCTACCTACGCTTCTTTTTTAACTAAATGAGACAAACCAAGGATAGGTATTTGGTATTTCTTTGTGTTGCCGACAATTTTTGGACAGTTACAGTAACTGTGCACTCATTTTACTAAAGGTACCCTTTTCAATGAGGATTGTTAAGACTATATTTGAAGTTTTTACCCCATTGCTGTCACAATTGGATATATTAATTACGACAATTAAAAAACCAACCACCACATAAACACAAATAGTAACTCCAATTATGAGGCACTCCAAATAGGAGCCGCTAAAGAAGGCTCTTGACAGACATAAATCCTGCGCTTGTTTTAGTTTCAAATATTTATGGCAACTAATTTTAGCTTTTAGCATTTCTTCGCCCGCTGGAAAACACACGCCCTTAAGCATCGCGAGCCAGCGAGACGTCTGTAAGGAGTCTAGTACTGTAATTACTAGTGCCATACCCCCAGCTAACTTCTCCCTGACCCGTCTTAAATCTTCCCGCGGGCTGAAAAAGGCGCGTTCAACAGCGTTTATCATAAGAACCCGCTTGCAGGCGAGGTAACTCTTCACTAGTTATGTTTATATTTCTCTTCGCACTAGAGGAACTGTCCTCTTTTGTAAACCGAAAAACATTTCTATTTTCACCTACAAGGAAGTTCATCAACCTCCTCAAAAGAACAAACAGGACAGAACATTCAACATTCTTTTGATAATGAAGACTACATCCAGCACAAACCTCGGAAGTCGCTGTGGTCACTAAAGGAATATATGGTGTTGTCTTTGCCGTAGTGCTTAGATCCACTGAAAAGTAAGAGATACACGTTAACAATGGTAAAAAAAATTCTTAACTTTTGTTTTCCCATATTTGTTACTGTACACAGAGCAAAGGTAATCCCCCTCATTGAATAAGATGCTAATCCATTTCATGTTACCCAGCCCCCACAAGTAATTAAGCAAGATATTGGGCTGAAGAATAACTTGCCACGGCCTATTTGCCATCAGACATGGTAACCAAAAAGGCCTGGGCTTGGGCCCAGCTAGCCAGAGATATACAGGTAGCACTCTGGGGCAAGACACTTAACCCATTAACTCCCAGAAGTGATTAACATGCAACTTCTCCCTGAAATATCCATACATTATGTAGCAAACAGGTAATTAGAATACTCAACCTTATCAGGTACAAGTCTTTCCCTTGATCTAACTCCAAATTATTGTTACTAATTTATGTGTGGAATGTGTGGCAGCTAAAGGGAGAATTAACAATCAGATCAAGCCTCTTTCTCATCACAGGAGTATAAATAGGTACTGGCCGATGGTAAGTAAACCCAAGGTAATATGCAGGTATAGCACTGCAATAAACCGACCTCCAGTACAGGAAGAGTGTCAAGTACTCTAACAATGCCTCATATGTTACAAAAATTACTATTTTATGTAAGGCTAGCTATACAAGCAATATGAAGGTGCACATAACATAGTTATAGAACCTTATAAAATAATCATTGGAACATGAGGATTAACAACCCTTAGAGTTACATGTATAACAAGCTGCCACAAACACCAAGAATTATAAATTTTAGAAGATAGTTACTCTACTGCTTCCAAACTCTTGACATATCTCCGGTTAAAAAGCTACATGTATCAATTCTTATAAATTTCAAGGAAAACATACTCACAAATTATTTGTCCTGAGGTCTTGAAAATCAGACAAGCAGTTTTAGGTGGTCTAGATGCCACTGCTGAATAGTTACAAGTGACCTTTATTTGTACAATCCTTCCCAAAATGTTTTCATCTGTGGTATCTGCCCACTAATGAAATTAATAACGAATGAACACAAAATCAATCAATGTATTCAGAGCCCTGTGCATAAAAGCAGTTGTGAAAGGTTAAGCTCTTAGTGGATATAAACCCTGGATACATAACCTTAAAAACTAGTTTGCCTTGTACTTCTTCAACTTTAAAGATGTCTTGGTTTATTGCCATCCACTTGTTTCCAAGTTGATATTTGTAGTATGCTGCACTTCCAGGAACCACTTGACAGCTTTGATAGCTATCAGCAGAATTTATATTCACATGTCCTTCCTTTGCAAGGTTGAGGGATTTCAGAAAAAAGGGCCACTCAAAGAAACGAGAGCAAACTGGGAAAAAAAAAAGAAGAAATGACAACACATCAACCATTTATTTTGAAGAATTCTAGCATAATAATCACCAGCAACTGTTATGCAGAGTTTTTTAAAGAGTTTATATGGGGTTATGTGAAGCCAGTTATAACATGAACTATTTGCTTCTGAAAGTTACCACTCCTAAATTTCATTGCATTTTTGTCTTAAAGTGCATCATCATTTAGAGAAAGTCAAAGGTTGAATCAGCTGTTCATATTTTAATTAATAATAATAAAATTATTCGAGGAGCATTTAATGTGGCAGCCATATTCGGCACACATACATTGATTCACACATTAATTCACTCACCAGCATTGTCTTTACATCCATATACCTCCACTCTGAGACATTTATTTGCTCTTGTGTTATAGTCTTTAGGATATAATTTGAGGAATCTTGTTTCAAATGTCCCTCTGAAGTAATTGTACTTAATGGTGTCTGTGTCATTATTTCCAGTAAATTCCTGAAAGTGGACATTAAGTGAAACATTAATTCATAAGAATAAAAGAATATTGACAAAAGGCTTGGTTAATATATACAGTCATGTAAAGGTCAAATCATTCAGAGGATGAAAAAATGTTGTTATGAATTTTCAATCCATAAATTCAAGAAAATTAAAACAGTCTCTATCAAATAAAGATATCACAACACCTAATGATATAAAGCAGCCAGCTTTGAATATTTTCAGAATCACAAAGATAATGACAAAAGACAAAAACAAACAGGTGGGATGGAAGGGGGAGGGGGCAGTAGTGATTCCTTCCATTAGGCCTGATGGTTAATATTTTCTGTTTCAACTGCATCATTGGATGTGTAGTGATGGTAAATTCTTTCCCAGAACATCAATATTGACACAAAAAGAAAACTACCAAAGTTTAAAATTCATACCTTTGTTCCACCATTGTCATCTTGGTAATCAAACCATGTTTTGCCATCATAACTGTACCTTATGTTAAATGTTTTAACATAGTTGAAGAATTGCCTTTTGAATCCTTGAGTTGCAAGGGCCGAGACATGCCTGACCTCAAGTAAATCAATCTCTAAAAACACTTCAGTAGAATATCTAGCACACCAGGCCTTATCATTATTTAGTCTTCCCTCAGAAGGACTAAAACCTGGAAAACTACGAGAGGACTTTAGTTGGGAATTTTTGATTTTCCTACTTTCCATACCAAGTGCTTCTGAGCAATCTACAAAATAACCAAAGGCAACAAAACTAATTCAGCATAATCAAGACTTTATATATCACCAGTAACAATTAACAAGCAAGCTAGGTGATCACCAAAGCAGACCGAGATATTTTTATTTTGGATGGAAATGTGGTCATCTTAAGGCAGAAGGCAGGCAAGACTGGTCAACCATAAATTATTAATGATATGTTGTAAACAGCCTCTTTCATAAAGTATGAATTCCATAAAAGTGAGAGTCTCCATGCAGGCAACTAGAATTTCAGATCTGTCAAATGATGAAAGTCATTTAACATAGAGGCAAAACAGTATTTCGAGAAACCTGTACATTTTTGGCACTATTTATTGCACAATCAATGTCCTTGAAGATTCCTCTTGTGTCTGTGATGAATTCATTTAATAACCACTATTTCTCTCATTCAAGTAAACTTTTCCATCTCTTTTAAAATGTAAAGTGCACAGGTAAAAGGATTGCTTCTATTGTTCCCATACCATAAACACTCTAATGAACAGTTCGCTAGGCTTATTACTCTCCAGGGGTCCTTGAAGAAGACAAGAGGCTCATTTTAGAGAGTGGCTTCCTTGAAGTAGACAAGAGGCTCATTTTAGAGAGGGGCTTACAAGAAAGGGGGTGCTTATCTAAGACTTGCGAAGGGCCACAAAATCAGTCACTTGTTCTATTCTGAAGTATTAACCAGCTAAGTCCCCCTTATATAGGACAGATCCCCAGAAATTGAGCTCTCAATAATCACATCATCTTGAGCATGAGACTCATGCATAGGAATTCAATCTTGCACTCTCACTCTGAAATGATTGTTTCTCACATATTTAAGATTCCCCCCCCACCCTACATGCACACATACACACACACATGCAATGCCTGTGGCATGTCAATTTACAACTATGTGATTGAAACTCTCACTCTCTGCCAGCCTATAAACTTGAGAGCTCTGCATCCTCCTAAACAAAACCTTGAAAATAAACACAGGGCAAAATACTATTGCTGGGATAATGCTATGTAAATGGCTATACCATAGTATTGTTCTACATTTGGGTTAGATAAGATAAAATTTTCGCACAGCCCCATACTATTGTAAAACAAATCTGTTTTCCCAATGGCACTGTATTGTTTTTGTCATTGTTTTCTCTGTCCAAAGAACTGAATGCATAATGTAGGATGGAGCTGTGCGGAAATTTTACTAATAGGCCATTTTACAGTTGTGTACTTAGTTGCCAAGCCTTTGATTTGGAGTGAGGCTGAAGGTGACCTTGTTGTGTTAGAGACCAGAATCTAGTTAGCATGATAACAAAGTAATTTGCATTTCAAAAGCAGCAAGGTTTGTATCATAACAAGGTCACCCTTAGCCTCACTCCTGTTCAAAGGCTTGGCAACCAAGCACACAACTGTAAAATGGACTATTTCTCGACCAGACAAAACTCACAGTAATTTGTTTATGGTACCACTGTTCGTAACTCTCCTTAAATTGTTTGATTGATCATGCGATCATTTTATAAAAACAAGGAAATATCAATAAGTAGTCAAATCGTAATCATGATAAGATCAAATAACTCTTGTTTAAAGCTTTCGATGTTAATTAATTCACTTACCTCCAAACAGCATTTTTTTTATACTAGCTGTATCACCACAACTGCCTAATTCCGGGAGGAAGGTTTGAGTGTTGATATTACACGAACAGCTACATGGTGTGGTATTGTTTACCAAAGCCGAGGTGTTGACACAAACATGTGAGGGGCATTGGAAGCCAGTTTTGTACAGAACCTTGAACAGGTCGGTACCATATCTATCTCTTCTCGTTATCACGTACTTATCAACACCGTCTGCATTTAAAGTAGCAAGCGAGGAAGTAGGTTGAAGGGTGGTTACATACAACACCAAAATAACGATTCTTGTTAAGGGGCAAGTTGCCAGCTTCGTCGAACCTATGTACATTATTCATTCGTGCAAACAAGCCACAACTGTCTCTGTTTACACTTTGCGATTGATCTTTTGCTTTTTATCTCTGTATACGACTGGAACCAAAAGCACGACTTTCACAGCGGAGTTGTTTGTTTATAATCCTAAACATTATCTTTTTGCGATCTCGATAGGCCCGACAATGTCTGCGTGCCAATGCTGTATCCACTTTGGAGAGCGAGATATTACAGCAGGTCAATACGTCACGTTACCTGAGGAAATACCAGGATGTAAGGTCCTCGTTTTCTACACCAAAAAAGGCACAGTTTCCGTAAACGCCTGTTGGTTTACTTATTTTTGACATCTCCCTTGAGAAATAATTCTCGGAAACAGTGCGTCAGCTAATAGGAAAAGAAGCGGAATCCGAAGGTCTGAGGTTCGATTCCTCATGGGGACTCTGAATTTTTTCCTTTGTCCCACGCTCGTGACAAGACGAAAACATCTTTCTCTAGGTAGAAAATTGTCAGACATAACTTCAAAGATGTCGACTGCATATACTTACTCTTGAGGAATCGAGAAAAACAAAGCGTAGTTTTAAGAATCTCTAGCCGGTAAGTGGGTTTATTCGCCTTGAGATAAAGAACGATGGGTCTCTGACCTTTTCGGCATCAAAACTGTGGGTTTGACTGCTTTTTTTGACAACAACTATATATCAAACTGATCAATGGTAGCAATATTAACGGTGGCAGAAGAGAAGCTTCTTCTGTCAATTGCTGTCGTGAATAAACCGTATCATCTTGACCGTAATAAGCTTACAGGAACGATGATACAGCTTGAGGATTATTTGGAGTTAAAATCATCATCTTTCTTGCTTAATGGGAAGGGAAAGCATCGATAAGTGAAAATCGTGCGTGACTGCGTCACGAACCATCAACACAATCGCTTCAGCCAATTTTTTTAATGACGTTCCTCAACTTCAGAAGTGCACATACTTTGAATATTCAACAAATGTTCTGTTAAATCTTGGAAACAAAGCCGGCTGACACATGATGACTGAGAACATTACGGAGATGCCAGTGAAACCAAAAATGGTTGAAGCGTGCGTTAAAAAACAGGAACGAAGCAACAACATGAAACTGAGATGGAACGAACCGAAAGTGGTGGTCTCTTGTTTGGAGAAAGTTCTAAGCACTGTTTTTCTTTCCTGTTTACTTGCGGTTTGTGTTACTATTATGCGCTATTACGCATCACACATTAAACTGAAGCACTTACGATCAGAATTTCTTGACTCCCGCGCTTGGTAGGCCCGAAAGTGGCAGATACTTGCCAGAACGCAAGTAGCTCACTGATTTAACTCCCAACTAAACCCTGTGAGCAGGGTAACTGGGATACCTGGATGGTACGGGATCCTTGGAATCAAGTGTAGTGATACTATGGGTGTCGGACTAATATACTGAAATAGTGAGCTCAAGTCTGGCTAAGGGCATACACCTATTTCAAAAGACAGGCATGCTCTGCATGCAAGAGTTATTTTTTGTAGGGTGGGTGGATTACTTGAAACATTGTAAGTGGTCTACATTCTTACAAAAGGAAAGAAGAGAATTAACGCGGAAAAGAACGAAAATGTCGAATTACCTCACACACAGGTATTCTGTGGTAGATTATGTGTGTTGTGCAAATAAATGTCACCAAAAATAAACTCTATTGGTGCCACAGATACCTGTTAGTACAAAATGCAGACAGCAGACTGCAGACCGGATACAAAATATAGACTTCAGACTGCAGAGTGGGTACAAAATGCAGACTGAGAATCTGAAGAGTTTTTACTTCTGGTATATAATGGCATGTCATCTTACGGCTTACCGAGCGTCACGCAATCGCTTTTCCGCGATCAGCCTTCACGATTTTTTGCACTATTGTGGAAAATTCCTGGCTCATTTCTTGATGAAAATCGATCGTAATATAATTTCAAGCCTTCAATATAGTCTTCTAACTTTGCGCGCGAGTTGGTTGGTGTGATGTCTGTACAGATTTTACCAACGTAATAAAAGTAGATGACGTGAATAACAGTGATGGTAAAGCAAGCTTAAAACGGCAGAAATCGCCAGAAACTACAACGGATACACAGGGTATGGGTAAGTTTTATTGATTTTACGAGGAAAATGTTCATATTTCGAAATATTTCGTTCCCTATACTATTGTTCAAATTTTCAACGGTTCCTCTCGTAACTTAACACCGAGTCACACAACGCGTGACGCGTTTATGAATTAATCGTTGGCTTTTTCTAGAGGCGTGAGCTTGGGCCACCTGTGACAAGACAATTGCATAAACAGTACTTGACATAATTACATTATACACAAAAAACACATGCAGGATTTTGGATCGTGAATTATTAAAAAAGAATATCCATACAACTACAACGAAAACAAACATAAGATTCACCTTTCTGATCGTGAAATTAATACCATTCGCACTGTTATCGTAGCTACGTTCCCTGACATCAAGTGAATCCAACATGCCGTCTTTCTTCACTATCGGTTGGCATCCATTAGAGTTTTGTTCTTTAGTCTCACGGTAGGAGTGTTGTTCAACAGATTGCATAGAGTGTATGCAGTTTGGTTTCAGATTTCAGATTTTGCCTTTTACAACAAGTGTACGTTTTTCAACTAAGACATTGGCATACCTGGCATACAAGGCATACCTGGCATACAAGGCATACCTGGCATACAAAGCATACAAGGCATTCAAGGCTTTCAAGCGTTGGCGACTCAATCCGTTCCAAAATTACCGTTCTTTTAGCGTGGATTGGCCGCGAACAATACGACTTGTGTATGCGTCTGTAAATATTTTAAGCGTTTGCGCCGTGATGCTCCGGGTGATCATAATCCAAACACGTTGAAATACAAAATAACTGACAAAAGAGTTTTATACGCAAAAATCCCGTGGTTCGTTATGTGACCCGGCCCTGTCCGTGCATGGCAACGTCAATCATCATCAAGATAACACGCGTGATCAGCATGTGAACACTTCATTGGATCACAGTTAGTTGCCATGGTGTTGAGAGCCCAATGACCACTGGGTACTATTGCGCAATTTTTCCATTTTGTGGCAGAGGAAAAAAAAAAAAAAGACGACAAAAAAACAAAGGCTGACTGGGCTACCACAGGTATCCCAGTAATAACCTGTGTACTTCACGCTCTACTTTGTTTACCCATCAACGTGCGGTTCTTCCCCCCCCCCCCCCCCCAAAGAGTGAGCACTGGCATAGACGACAAAAGTAGATCGTTCAATGCTATTCATTTTTCTCTCCACAAACAGTTGTATCATTTCCATAAAAGCATTATTCGTAAAGAAGTTAGTTAAGTAAAACGTATACTTTTGAGCCCCATTTGCGATGACTGCCATAAAACCACAATCTAAGTCATAACAACAGTCAATCAGAACAAAGGAAAATACAACAAGAAGCCATCAAGGACTTAAAGCATATACACGTCATCATCCTAAAGCGCGGGAAAATGCAAATAAACCCATCGCCACTTGTTTTAGTTTTGCAGTTGATTGGTTGAGAAGATGGCGCGAGCTTCCCCAAGAACAATCATAGAGCACAGTTGAATAAAAACCAATGCAACTTGAGATAATTTGAGATTACTCTAACAATAAAGTTTGTTAAGTTTATCCGCATGAGTCATCTCGATAGCTGAAAACTAAACTACTAATTACAGTTATTTCTACAATAATGTTACATTTTTTGCATTTTCTATACAGAGACCTTTTTAGAGAGACATTTGCCTCTAATACATAAACAGTCTTGACAGAGAATAACTGTAATACTCTAGGTAACTCTTTTGACTCTCTCACAAAAAACTTTGAGCAATTCAGAATTAATTTTTTTCATAAATTTTATACGTTTTCTTAACAAAAAAAACTGTATACAATGTATCGATACCATCTGAACTAACTTATATTATACTTTAAAAAGTTCGATAAAAATTAAAGCAAATCCAAGCTTGTCCTCAATAAAAGTTATCGACACTCAATAACAAGACTAACTTACCAACCACAAGAGAGAAATTAAAGAAGGCAATCTCTTATTTAGTAATTTATCTCTGCGTAACACGCATACCTTAATATACCAGTCGCTTAGGCAAACAATACGTACTAAAGTTATATCAAACTTAACTTATTAATTTAAATAGCTGAATTTGTAATACATGGCCTTCTATGAAAATGGGCTTAATTCTAGCATTTTTGGTGTTCCACCCGAAAAATTTAAGACCCGAGTAATCAGTAATTAACTGAATCCCTAATTTCTCGAGCAGCTACAGCTTAGTTTCGAGGCCCTCTCTCTAGCGTCTTTGACCGCATGAAGTCTGGAGAGGAGCCTCTCGTGGGAATGTCTCCAAAGGGATTGCCTGCAGTGCAATCTGCGTATCTGCATTCTTTACAGGAATTTTGCATCATAGGCTTCTAGGGCTTCGCAAGGTTTAGAAAACCAGTCATCTAAAGAAAACTTTAAGCTTTCATCTAAGTCAGCAAAAAGCCTATAAAAGATTATGAAACTGAAAGCGTTTTGAGATTTCAAAGATAGCATAAGCTTTCACTCATTTTCAAAATGACAACGGTTAAACTGGAGTTTTAAGCACCTTTTGAACCAAGTTTCTTGACGTTACGTCTCTCTTTGGAATCTTAAAATGCGGTAAGCTGTAAATTTCATCACTAACTTTCTATTAACGGAAATAAAAATTGAATGGTTGTTTGTGAATCCTTCTCCCTCAAGTGAGCTAAGTATACTACAGAACTAAGCTGTTTTCGCTTCGTAATGAGAAAAGGTTTGCGACAGTTTCACAGCCCCTTGACTACTACTAACTACATACTACGTGCTCGCCTTCTCGCACAAGGTTCATCGTTTTTCATTTTCCAGTGAAAGGCATAGACAGGGTTATTTTCAAGGCTTTTTATCTCTGAGGGATGAATCGGCAGATCTTTCTCTTCGTCTGTTGAGCCCGAATTAGGAAATGTTTCGTTCATATCACTCTGAACGTCATCAGAGGGTGTTTCCGGTTCAAGGATGTTGTATTCGTGGTTCACAGGCTCGTCAGGTCTTAGTTCTTGCTCTGTAAAAATATCACCAGTCAAAGTATTACAAATACAAATTTAAACTGATCAAGGTTACTGTGAGAGCGCTTTTGGATTGAGTGTTGTAGAACTAAAAGCAATGTAATCACATCGACCAATCAGAAGAAAAGAAAGAAAGAGCCAATGAAAATTTAAAGTATACAAAACCAAACTGTCTAAAGCGCGGGAAAACGCAGGCGACCACGTCGTGATTGGTTTTAGTTTTGCATCGGATTTGTTGAGAGAGCGAAGAGAGGCAAAACCGATGCAATCTCGGATTACCTTCGACACTCAATTGAAAATTGCTATTTCAATCAGTTAATAATTAATAAATCAAAAAATTCTTACAAAAATGCCTGACCGTGCGTGTTTGCTTTTTCTCTTGTCTCTAGATTCGTGGTGTTACTCTTAGTTTTGATCCAAATCTGTTATTTTTGTCGTTGTTGTTGTTGTTATTTTTTTGGCTAAGGTGTACGAAACTAAAAGTTTAGTGAATACAAGAAGCAAAGGCTTCTTGAAACAACTCATTTTTCCTTTCAAAGATTTCAAAATTTGTTGCCCGGTGGAATTAATGTCATTCAGCACTGCATACATCTTTGACGACGATAGAAAACAGCATACAAATTCATGAAGGCTCGCGAGAGACTCTGTAACTCAGTTAAGATTTCGACACTTACATCTCAAGCCCAGTGACACGTATTCAAGTATCGACCATCAAAATCTCGCAAGATATCTTAACTTCTTGTGCGATTAAAAGGCCTAAAAATCAATTACCTGACTCTTCCGGTTCTAGAATATTATACTCCGGTAGTTCTTTGCCATCCTGACTACTTGAGTTGTTGTGCTAAACAAAACAAAATGATTCAGTTCCTTTTTCGAACTTCATAGCCTCCGCAAATCCAGGGTTCCGTGTAACTATGTCGTAGGCACAACCGAGAGCATTAGACTTGGAAGGCACTGCAATGCGCATTGCAATAAATTCCCCTCCTCATTCAGCGATAAAATGGATCCAAGGTTTATCTCTTACTCCCAGGTGCGAACGAAAAGGAATTTCTCTTTACAACATCGATACAATTTCTTACGGAAAATTGAAGAGAGGAAAGAAAAATATAAACTGGAAGACATTATTTGACACAACACCAAATTCTGAGAGCTATAATTATGAGAAGAAAGTGAGGAGAATTGATATTTAAAATCTGGGAGAGAAAGGGTTTATCCTTTAAATCCCGGAAGTGATTAACAT